AAGAAAAACATTCATGGATTTTTGTTTTTGTTTTTCGGAGTTTTCTTCCTTGCATCACTTGGGTTGTAAAAAAGGATGATATTCTCATTGTTAATTCTCGTTACAACCACATAAATCTACCACATCTAATAAAGTCCATCCCTAGGATTGTGTTATTCTCATGAGATGCATTTAGGGCAACAAATTAACTATTGATAGTCTTTTGAGGAGGAACAAAGCCACGGTGAACCAATAAATTTTCATGCTCCAGTGAGTGTGGATCCCCAAACTAACTCCTCTTTCGGTGCTTAAAAGTTAGAAAGTCTTAGAATTCAGCTAATAGCATCCTTAATCTCTCTTGGGTGGTTACTGCCTCAAATCAACAAGGACCTTTAGCCATGCAGAAGGATTCCTACCTCAAAGCATTGGGGTAAAAGTTTTATTCCTTATTTTTCTTTCTATCATTTGGGTCACTTAGAAAGAGAGGAATCGAATTGAAAAGCTTTTGATAGTTCATATGGGGACAGACCTCGGTGGAAGATGTTGATACATTTTATCTTTTTAAACTTTTCTCTTTGTAATTTTGGTAAGAGATTGCACCTCATCTCCTTTTGTGCTTTTTCATCGTATTTCTATATTATATTCCTTCTTCGAAGTGGATGACTATGTTTTTACTTATATATATTACATATGTTTATATTGTAAAAATTTTAAATAAATCAGGTGAAATGTTTGAACCTATTTAATCAAGAATTTTCCCTTTTATTACGCTCAGTTTAGCTCTAATAGTTAAAAGTTTTGAACCTATTTAATATTAAGTATGAGTTTGAGTTGGGTTTATTAAAACTTTAGCTTTTGACCGAACTTTTTATACACCAGGCTTTAGCTTTGTATTTTGTTCAAATGACTCGAAGTTCTGAGTCCAAAATAAAGCTTGATTCGATCAAGCTGAATTTGAGCTTGAAAGAATTCAAATAACCGAGCTCAAATTCTCGAACACTTGCCTTGCCGTTGTGGGTGTCCTAGCCTACTACGCATAGCAGATGGCTGCTGTTAGTGACAATTTGCAAAGCAACTGATCGACAACAAATTAGTTCATTCTCAGAGTTTATATTCTTATATTTATAACAATGTACATATTATTTATTTTTTTCATATTCTTAAAATTAGTGAATTTTAGATGTTCTCTGTATTTTTCATTAAATATTAAAATAGTTGATCTAAGTAGTTTTCACAATGTTTAATTTCATGAAGCACTAATTGTTGCATATACCAATTATTATTATTATTATTATTTTGCCGTATGGGCCATAGTGGTTTATTGGAGTTCAATGTATGTGATTAATGGGTCCAATGGGCCTTTTTTCCTATGTAAAATTCGTAGTGTGTTTTTCTTTTCAAAAATTGAAAAAAGGCCCACTTAACTTATTATAATTGCACTTTTTACCCTTCAAATTCCCAGCGTTCGTTTCTGATCCAACGCGTACATTAACAAACCTCAGGTCATCAAAAAGGGATACAAAGGAAATGCAGAGATTTTAGAGAGACGAAAACGAAGACGAAGAAAGAAATGGAAGAAGCCAAGGCATTGGCTCAGCATCAACAACAACTCCTCCTGCAACACCAGCAACAACAGGCACAGCAACACCAACAACAACAGCAGCAACATCAACACCAACAATTCCTCCTCTTACAGCAGCTTCAGAAACAAGCTCAACAACAACAGCAGCAACAGCAAGCTGCCATTTCTCGTTTCCCATCCAACATAGATGCCCACCTCCGCACTCCTGGCCTCCTCCATCAACGACCTCTCAATCTCCAACACAACCCTAGTTCTAATCCTACCACTAATGTGGTACAACAGAGTCCTAATTTGCCGCAGCAGAACCCTAATTTGCCACAACAGAGCACGCAGCAGTCGCAACACTCGCAGCAGCTGCAACAGCAACAGCAACAGCAGTCGCAACAGCAGCAGCTGCAACAACAACAGCAGAAGATGATTCGACCCTTGAATCAGATGGAGCTCCAGTTTGCCTACCAGGATGCTTGGCGTGTCTGCCACCCGGATTTCAAGCGCCCTTTCTCTTCACTCGAAGATGCTTGCGAGAGGTACGTGAAATTACGCATTATACCTTTGTTTTTATTTACTTCTTCTGTAATTTTGATTGTATTCTCTTTTTCTGTTTGGTTGCTAAGAAAATGTCGGAAATGATGTTTCTGTAGCAGCCAAAATATCTTTTTTCTTTTGCTGCTACTCATTGTAAAGTATGTAGTTACTTGTTCTGCTGTGTGAATTTGATAGGTATTATATGGTGGAATGAGATATCGATTACATCTTATGATGGCTGTAATTTGTTAGATTCAAAGTAGTACCAAGTTCAGACATGTTAACATCAAGTTATTAGTTGGTCGATGACATTTATTGTGGCATATTTGTCGCTTTATTGGATCTCTATAACTGGATAACATTTCCGAATATGAGTGGGATATATATCGAATGATTTAACTATATATTTGCTATCCATTTTATTTTAATGTATTTTTTGAAGAGGGAAACAAGCTACCAAGTATCTTGCAAGACATATCGTCTAGAGATGGATTCGAATTTATATGCCTGAATAAAGTTTCCTTGATGTTGCATGGTGTTTGGTACAAGGATGAGTAAGGATAATTTATTTTTTTCATAGGACAGGAGAAAAGAAATATGCTTCACTATTGACAACAAATGTTTAACCATATACAAACAAGGTATCAAAGGGGTACTACCCATTTACGAAGTGTGTAGAATTAAATATTAATCAAAATATCAATAAGGTCCCCTAAATTCTTGTAAAAAACAGGAGGATTGACCTTCTACAAAATACACGGGGTTCGGAACCATAAATCTCTAACCCTTCTAAAAGATATGACTTTGTTCAAGGTCCTTTTGTTTCTCTCTTTTCAAATCACCCACAAGGTAGCCAAGGGGATTGGAGCATCTTCTTTCTTCTCTTACTACAACAAATACCTTGCCAAGCCCACTACTCAACTGTTCTTTTTCGGTCACTGAAGAGCACGTATGGTATTAAAATCTGCATCCACTGAGATGCAGATTATCTTGGAACAGAATAAACATACCATTGCCTACCTTCTGTCTGAGAAGTGTAATAATAAGGAAATTTTCAGGGACGAAGTTGGGCTATGGTTGTTACAAACTTCATCACACGGTTAAAGTTTCTAATTGGAATTCCTTATAGTGCTCCGTTGGATTTTATTTTTTTTGGGTGTACAAAAAATCTTAATTGTTTTTATAAGAAAGCAAAATTCTTTCTTGTGCTCTCACTATTTAGCCACTTTTTTTTTGTGAGGGATTCTGATAACTTAAGGACATTGCCTTTATACCTTTTTATGAGAAACAATTTTTTATAGCATTTTTAAACATTCACTCCTATGTATGATCTAGTATTAATTGGTACTTCAGAAGTCACTTGTTTGAATAAACAAGTGCTCTCAGAGTTACTAAACTTAGTGGGTTAAGTAAGGGTCTTTTTTGGCTTGAAGTTCTGTACCATATAACAATATATGGTTTGCTTGTTCATTTTGTGGAGCTATAGTGCCTTTATACAGAAATGAGATATTATAATGATGGCTTATGGTTATTTTAATGTGTTTTACAGTACTGAATTAACTAGTTACTGCTTAAAGGGGTTTGGAATGTTTAAGTAGATGTTGAAACTTTTTCTTGCATTCTTGTTTTTAGGTTCTTGTCATGGAATTTGATGGCATAAGTTATATTCTACCATCAAATTCAAAATAGTACAGAGAAATACACTAGTACCTGTGTCTCTTGTCCAAATTTGGATCTCTTTTTATGAGTACCTGTATGCCCTTTTTCAAAGGGA